ACTCAAAATCGTCTCTCCAATTATTCCGTGAATGAGCTTAACTTTCTTCTTATGAGATGGATTTTCTGACTCTATCCTTGTGTTTTATTGCAGTGGAGTTTCCTGCGGGCAGCCTTCCTCCTCATGCCAATACTGGTTGTAGCCGGGAGGTCTTCTCTTCAGCTTCTCTCAGGCAGGCCATTAGTCCACTCCCTCGGTTTGACAGAGATCGTTCCGACGAATCTTGTCGTTTGATACGGGAAGGAGGGCGTCATTGCTTGCGCCAGCTTATTACGGATGCCTCCTTCACCGCGGATTCTACCTCCACTCAGGCTTTAAAGAAGGCCGTTAGTCCACTTCCTCAGTTTGACAGAGATCGCTCCGACGAATCCTGTCGTTTGATACGGGAAGGAGGGCGTCATTGCTTACGCCAGCTTATCACGGATGCCTCCTTTACTGCGGATTCTTCCTCTACTCAGGCTTTAAAGAAGCCGAGTTTCCTGTTCGGAGATCACATTGAGGATCCTGCTACGTTGACCCTTACCGAGGAACACTGGCTGACTCTCGACGAAGGAGCTCTCTTGTACATTCCCTCTATCCCGCGTCAATATTCCTTCACTCATTTGAAGGGACAGGCCATGGGGCGACAGTTGTCCTGGCACCTGACTAATGATGCTGAGCGAGTCGAGTGTGGGTATGCCTCTCATCACAAGACTCCAGGTTCTAGCGGGTATCATCATATTCGTGGTCTTCGACCAGGGATCATGGGCCTTGCCACTGCGCCCCCAGGCGAGGTGTCAGCAGCTGCTCCTACCGTGAGTAACCGTCTGGCTCTTCTTGGGAGAAGGTTACCTCCACCGGATTATAGATGCTATGGTTGGGCTTCCTCACTAGCCAAGGGGTGGTGGGCACGCATGACCAGTTTCGTCTTGGCGCGCTGGGAGAGGGATTTGAAGAGCAGTGGATTGTATGCACCTATACGAGCCACCATGTACGGAATCCCTTCCTTCTTTTGTTTCCTTTCTTGTTTTGGCTTTATTGCCTCTTTTGTTTTCCCCCTTCTTTTCAAATTTTCAAAAGAAAATCCCTCTCAAACTCCTTCTCCTTCCTTTCATCCATACTCCATTGTTTCTCTCTTTCAAGGACTCAAAACCCATTAAAAGTTTTCGGATTTTTTTTTTGTTCCCCTCTTGGCCGAAATTGATCTCTCCTCCAAGCTAGGGTTTCATCATCTTCAACCTCAAGGAAAGCTTCTTGATTTGGTAATCTCAAAACTTTCTCCTCCTTTTTGAAAAGATTATAGCCTCATGCTTGTAATGGGGATACAACATGAACCTATATGCCAAGATCATAACTTTTCATTCTAATGATGATGGGTTGTGAGTATGGACCAAAATTTGGGGGTTTTATGCAAACATGCAATATGGCCGAATTTTTTTGGGGGGCTTTTATGTAAAAGTGGATGGAAATTTGTAGGGGTCTTTATGTAAAATGGGACTGAAATTAGGTTTTGGATTGCATGTCCATTTGGTCGAAAATTTGAGGGGTGCTTTATGCAAGAAAACCAATGTTGTTTGAGGGGTTTATTTGCAAATTTGGCTTCATTTTACAAAAGGGTTTATTTGTAAAATTAACCAAAATTGTGGGGTATCGGGGGTGTTATATGATCAGATATGATGACCATGACCCAACCCGAGCGTGTCCTTGACCCGAATTTGGCCTTGAACACGAAGGGTATTTTGGGTATTTCACCAAAATTCACCGCGAAAAATGACAATCATTGTTTCGCATGCACGAAATTTGTAGGTTTAACTAGACTTCAATTATGAAATCCTATTTATACATAGGATTTTAATTAAAGTTCTTAATTTCCCTTTTAAATTTCGTGTATTCATATTTTAGATTGTACCTGACTTGCTGCTTTTCGTTGCAGATTTTCAATGTCTCCACGCCGACCTCGACCTCGTAGGAGTCGTTCTCATTCGCAGCACAGCGAGGAAGAGGTTCCCGCGACATCTTTTCCAGCGGCCTCTTTCTTTGGGGGTGAGAATTTATATTTTCTGTATCCCTGATTGACCTCTTCGCGGGTCATGAAGGAAGAACCGACACCCTCCTTCGCGGGGGTTAAGGTTTCGGACTTGCCTTGCTTGGCTAATTCAAGTCTTCTGGTATATTGGGGCGATTTTGTGTCGTCCTACACCTTATAGGTCGGTGTATGTTACCACGTTATTCACGTGATGATGCATACCGTTCTTCCTCTCCAATTATTCCGTGAATGAGCTTAACTTTCTTCTTATGAGATGGATTTTCTGACTCTATCCTTGTGTTTTATTGCAGTGGAGTTTCCTGCGGGCAGCCTTCCTCCTCATGCCAATTCTGGTTGTAGCCGGGAGGTCTTCTCCTCAGCTTCCATTAGGAAGGCCGTTAGTCCACTTCCTCAGTTTGACAGAGATCGCTCCGACGAATCCTGTCGTTTGATCTGGGAAGGAGGGCGTCATTGCTTACGCCAGCTTATCACGGATGCCTCCTTTACTGCGGATTCTTCCTCTACTCAGGCTTTAAAGAAGCCGAGTTTCCTGTTCGGAGATCACATTGAGGATCCTGCTACGTTGACCCTTACCGAGGAACACTGGCTGACTCTCGACGAAGGAGCTCTCTTGTACATTCCCTCTATCCCGCGTCAATATTCCTTCACTCATTTGAAGGGACAGGCCGTGGGGCGACAGATGTCCTGGCACCTGACTAATGATGCCGAGCGAGTCGAGTGTGGGTATGCCTCTCATCACAAGACTCCAGGTTCTAGCGGGTATCATCATATCCGTGGACTTCGACCAGGGATCATGGGCCTTGCTATTGCGCCCCCGGGCGAGGTGTCAGCAGCTGCTCCTACCGTGAGTAACCGTCTGGCTCTTCTTGGGAGAAGGTTACCTCCACCGGATTATAGATGCTATGGTTGGGCTTCCTCACTAGCCAAGGGATGGTGGGCACGCATGACCAGCTTCGTCTTGGCGCGTTGGGAGAGGGATTTGAAGAGCAGTGGATTGTATGCACCTATACGATCCACCATGTACGGACTCCCGGTCAGCTGTCGTCATTTCTTGGCGCTGTTAGAGACATACATGCCTGATAGTAACACCTTCCTGACCAGCGGGGGCGAGTTAGGATTGGCCTTGCATGAGATGCATCAGGTTTCTGGTCTTCCGATGGGGGATTGTCCATATCAGGAGTATTTTCCCTCGAACCAGCAGTTAGAGTGTTTGAAGAAAGATACTCCCGATATGTATGACACTCTTTGGGACCTCACTTTTCACTATTATACCTCCTTGGTCCAGACTTCTCTTCTAGCGAAAAGGAAGAAGCAGATCAGCTTGAAGCAGTTTGCTAGCTATTTGTTCCAGAATTTGGAGGGTGATTCCGGCGAGCCCATTCGTGAGTTAGATGTGTTGACCCCTACCGCCATTAATGAGTTGGTGGAGAAGGCTGAGGCTCGTTCTTACACCATTGCCAGTGCTGAGGGAGCTTTTCCTGCGGGAACCAAGTTTCGTTCGTTTCTCCGTCGTGCACAGAAGTCCATTGGGCCCCGGACTCTACTAGCAGGCTACATTGCTCTCTGGTTGAAGAAATGTGTTGTTCCATACCAGCCTTCAGACGCCTTACCTCTCGAGGTACTCTTCCCCGCAGTTCAGCTAGCTTACGGGAGGGAGCTTTCCCTGCTCCCAGCGATGGTTGCCTGCATCCATTGCGGGCTTAGGAGTGTGGTCAGTGGTTTTACACAGGTGGGTTCTGAACCGTCGACCGAGCTTGCCTGCCCTAGCTTCCTTATGCATATCTGATGGCGTGGCTTGTCCTTCACCGTCCTGACTTGATGTCGGCGCCCAGCGTTGTTGATGTCCCTGGTCCTTTTATGCAGCTGTTGGAGAAGAGCAGATGGCTTGGGAACAAATTCGGTGATGTACAACGAGAGCTTCAAGTCCGTAAGAGCTGGGAGTTCTTCAAGTGTTTTCCTCACTTTTCGGGTCGCTATGGTGACGTGCTGATTGACGAGGAGAAACCTAGAAGTGACCGGACTGTTCTCGACGTTGGTTGTTTCCGCTGGTTAGTGAACATCCGCGTTGGGTATCTTGTTCTCCGGGTGAAGAATCGATGTCACATAGAGCCTTACCTTCCCTGCCGTTTTGCTCGTCAGTTCGGCTATGACCAACTATATGTTGGGAATCCAAGCCGTGGTCTGCAGGTTGAGGGAGGGCTTATTGACGGTGTACGAGCATGGCTGTGGACTATGGCGGGCTGCACTGGAGCCCATTTTGCTCTTCCTTCATATAGGCATAAGCCGCTGACCACCTTTCTCAGTTGCAAGTGGTTCCTTTCCGCCCATGAATCCATAGGTGTGAGGAGTCTCTCAGAGTTACAGTCCGAGCACTCGGTCCAGGTTGCTATGATGGCTGCTCGCAGGGCTGAGCTTGCTCAGAAGCAGAGAAAGGGGCATGCCGAATCTCCTTTCCAAGATGATGAAGAGCTCCTTCCTACGGGTGATGACGACGAGACTTCTGAGGAGGAATATGTGGATATAGATACTGACAGAGAAGAACTTGATACAAGTTTGTCATGCTCTTTGATTTTCCTTCTCCATTCTACTTGGTATAAATGACAAATCTTGTTCGTGACCATTGTCACTTTAGGTAGGATAGTTGACGATCATGAGTCGCCAGCTTCTCGTTATACGAGCTCAGGGCCCGGCGATCGAGCTCCCACGCATGTTGAGACGTGTGACAAGTCCGTGCATGACCGACCTGTTGGTCCTAGGAGGGCGGGCGCCCCGAAAAGGAAGAAGACCGCTCATAAACCACACGACGGTCAGCGTCCTTTTGGAATGGATGTAGGAAGCATCGCCGATGGAGGGGAAGGTAATATTTATTTTTATTGCTTTAATGTGATTTACCTTTTGGGATTCGTAACCATGTTTTATGCTCCAGGGTTCTTTGAAGAGGGCGAACTTCCACCGGGTCCGGTATCTCCTGGATCTGATAACATGGATTGCTTCATGCAGCAGATGTGCGACGCCCTTCATGACGGTTCTCTGGGCATCGATCTAAACATTGATCTTGAGCAGGTGAATAGTGTTGAGCCCACCGTCCCATATTCAGGTATATCTACATCCAATGATACCCTCCTCAAGCATGGGGAAAGAGAATCTTCTGTTTTTTTTTTGCTGCAGGTATTTTTGAGCTTTCCTTTCCCCCTCATTCTCCAATATTTAGGTTATCCTGCAGATGTCGCGATGGAAAAGCCAGCTGAGGATGGAGCCTATCATGATGTAGGTTATTTAGGTTATCCTGCAGATGTCGCGATGGAAAAGCCAGCTGAGGATGGAGCCTATCATGATGTAGGTTTCGAGGAACGGGGGTGTGCTCCTGTACCAAGTTTCTCGAAACCCGACGCTGGATTATTAACCGACATGCTGGCCGAACAGACTGCCAGAGGAACCGTGAGACCACCCTTTGAGAGTGATTCACTCACAGGTATATACCTGATTCCCTTCATTTTTTTTTACCTTTTATCTAACTAATGAAGGATTAATATTACAGTACCAATCATCGGGCCCGATTCAGTAGCGATTCCCAGCATGTCTAGTTTACCTCGGAGTGACGGACTCGCAGGTATGCAGACGATCTTGGATGTCGCACTGCTTTTCATTTATTTGATGATTTTTTTTTTGACTAATAGATGAGTGTAATCATAGGACCAGCCACTTGGACCGATACCCTTATGACTCTTGGCATTCCCGCTGCATCTGAGGACGGTGGGATTGCAGGTATGCATACGATCTTTTTGTCCCGATTCTCCTTATTTGTCCAAATTTCCATTTGACTAATACAGGAGTGTAACTATAGGACCGGCCGTTGTGCCTGATACTACTACAGTTTCTGGGACTGAAAGTTTGCATAGAAGTGGCGTCTTCGCGCCCTTGCCGAGTGGTATGAGCGATCTGCCTACAGGGGTTGATATACCCTCCATGACCACTTCTGTCGTTATCTCGGAGTCCGCCGGACCTCAGCCCGAGGGGACCTCCGCTGGCGTTGGTATGCTCGGAATTTGCCTTTGAATTTCCTTATCGTATTCGATAATCCGCTAACTTCTATGTTGTTGCTTGTAGGATCTCGATCCTCTCTATATGAGCGTGTCCGCGCCCTTTTGGTCGATACCGATCCTAACAGAGATATTTTTCGTACGGACCTCAGCTTCTTTACTGCCTTTTATAACGGCATGATCGAGAAACTTCTTCATAGAGGATACGGTTTCGATCAGTTCAGGCGTTCCTTTTCTCGCCACATGATGATGATGAGGGAAGAAGGATACCCGGAATTGGCCGATTCCTTCACTGCCGATTTCGCTGTTCTGGAGTCAGAGATCCGAGAGTTGAAGGAATTGGAGATTAATGGGGCTTCTTCTTTCGTGTCCTCTCAGCTGGAGCATAGGCTGGCACAGTGGCGCGACCTGAGATCTTCTATCGGATGCGAGCTTCAGTCACATGAGAGCTCCATTGCGCAGCTAATGGCTACCGTAGCGAGGAAAGACTCGGATAGAGCTGAGCTACTCCGCTCTTTGGACTCGAGCCGCGAGGAAGTGACTAGGTTGAAAGAGGCCTTGAAGCGTGCCGATGGCTACTGTGGCGAGGAGGGATACGGATAGAGCTGAGCTACTCCGCTCTTTGGACTCGAGCCGCGAGGAAGTGACTAGGTTGAAAGAGGCCTTGAAGCGCGCCGAGGAATCTGTTACTCTTATTGCAGATGACCTGGCTGGATTAGAGTGTTCTCGTGAACAGGCACTCGAGAGGCTAGGATCCACCCAGGAGAGACTGATGAAGCTGAAGAGTGAAGCCGCGGAGATTTTAAGCAGTTCTGAAGAATCTGTTCGAGCTGATCTGCAGGCAGAACTCGAGCGGAGTTATGTAGATAGACTCTTTAGTTTAAAGTCTCATATCCTCGACCGCCAACTGCCTTCGGGCTAACGAGCTTTTTATTGTATGCTTTTGACTCGATCTATTAATAGAGACTCCGCATTTGCTTCTTTCGTGATCTTTCTGTGTTTATTCTGAATGACAAGAGTTACGGGATTTTTGGCAAACCCCCAGCCCTCAACGGGTTTGATATGTCTTTACCGATTACCGTTTAAAATCGGACTAGCATGTGAATTATTAAACCCGTCTCACATGTAACGTTGTGCTAAGAAAATCGCTTTTCTTAGACTTGATGCTATGATTTTGAATACATAGACTTAACCATTTCTTATAGGGAAAAGGCACCCTGCACCGCGTATTAGGCGATGACTTATCCCTTCTTAGGCTTCGGGATAAAATTCCCCAGGTTTAAGACCCTGGTGTCTTTTTCAATCGGCGAAAGACTAAACCGGCGTAACGTTGTGCTAAGAGAATTGCTTTTCTTAGACTTAATGCTATGACTTTGAATACATAGACTTCACCATTTCTTATAGGGAAAAGGTACCCCGCACCGCGTATTAGGCGATGACTTATCCCTTCTTAGGCTTCGGGATAAAATTCCCCAAGTTTAGACCTTGGTGTCTTTTTCAATCGGCGAAAGACTAAACCGACAATGTGTGTTAGACATAGACTTTGGGATTTTTGGCAAACCCCCAGCCTTTAACGGGTTTGATGTGCCTTTACCGATCACCGTTTGAATCGGGCTAGCATGCGGATTGTCTAAATCCGTTCCGCATGTAACATTGTGCTAAGAGAGTGAATTCTCTAAGACTTTGTGCTATGATTTTGAATACATAGGCTTCGCCCTTTCTTATAGGGAAAAGGTACCCCGCACCGCGTATTAGGCGATGACTTATCCCTTCTTAGGCTTCGGGATAAAATTCCCCAGACTGGATTCTGGTGTATTTTTCAATCGGTGAAAGACTAAACCGGCGACGCGTGTTAGGCGTCTTCGGGATAAAATTCCCCAAGTTTAGACCTTGGTGTCTTTTTCAATCGGTGAAAGACTAAACCGGCAACGCGTGTTAGGCGTAGGCTTATCTCTATTTAGGAGTTGAGATAAAATTCCCCGTGCACAAAAGTGCACGGATTGGAAGTTGGGAATTGTGTCCTTTATCAGAATAAAGACGGATTGGGAAATGAAAGAGGAAGAATTTTATATTGTATCTCCCGGGACTGAAGAGGAAGAATTTTATATTCTATCTACAGTCAGAAAAGAAACTCAAGGTGGGATCTCCACCCCCAGAATCCGAAAAGATGAAACTAAGAGTGGGATCTCCACCCCGAGAATCGGAAAAGTTCAAACGGCCCTAACTTTTATAGGATTGGTCATTTGAATCAAAGAATCCCTCATTTATTGAAGGGAAAAGCCCAATTTCAACCCTAACTTTTATAGGTTTGGTGGAAAAAGGAACAAAGGCGGATTTTCGTTTATCGAAAAGGAATGACTCGGTCTTAGTCTTAACTATTTGTAGGCTTGACTAAGTGAGATCGGGAACAATCCTAACTTTTATAGGTTTGACTGTTCAAATTAAAAGTGGACCTCTCGTTCATGGAAGGAATCGAGAGAGGAATTTGGCTTTGGCCCTAACTTTTATAGGTTTGACCTGAAAGCAAAGAAAGTGGAATACATGTAGCAAAGAAAGTGCCAACTCGTATTATCACTCAAAGGAAGACTTTAATGCTAGGTGATTAGGACCTAACATGTTGAGTCTGAGAAATACCAACGACGGGCAGATGAAAATGTTGGTGGATCCACCGTCGTTTAATTTGATCAGCAGATGGTTTGGTGAGGAAAGATTAACCTATCGGAGGATTAGATCTCATCTCACAAAAATAACTCATAAGATAAGAAGAAACATTTCGGCGTTCGGAGTTCGAACGTGGATTTCTTATTCATCAACTCTACATTGACTGGGTTATCCTTAAGAATACCCCATGTGGTATTCTTCTGGGAACTTCCCGATACATCAATTTTCCTGAAGATACTACGGATAGTATCTTTTCAGGAATTTACCATTTATTGGCATCATAAGCCGGTCACCATCCTTGGTGACTAAGCGATATGCGCCACTCGAGTAGACTGTCTCCACTACGAATGGTCCCTCCCATTTGGGTTCAAATTTGCCCTTCTTTTTGGAATTAAGGATCATAGGCCGCCTTTCAGCTAGAACCAAATCCCCTTCTTTGAAACTCCTTTGTCGAACCTTTTTGTCGAAGGCTCGAGAAATTCTAGCTTGGTAAAACTCAATATGTTGTTGAGCTTCCAAGCGCTTTTCATCGAGCCTCTCGAGTTCTTCGAGGCGTTTCTGATGTTGTTCTTCGGTCGTCATCTAGGTTGCAAGAGCGATCCGAAGAGACGGGATTTGAATCTCCAATGGAAGAACAGCTTCACATCCGTATACTAGTGAATACGGGGTTGCTCCCGTCGGTGTGCGCACCGTAGTCCGATAGGCCCATAGAGCCGCGCCAAGCTTGTCATCCCAGTCTCGTTTATTAGTTTTCACGATTTTTGACAAGAGTTTTATGATAGTCTTGTTGAAGGCTTCAGCTAATCCATTTGCTGTGGGATTATAAGCCGTTGACGAGATATCCTGAATTTTAAACTTTTCGCAAAACCTTATGAAGGCGTTGCTGACAAATTGAGGACCGTTGTCATGTATGATTCGTCTTGGAACACCATACCTGTAGATGATATGGTGCTTGATGAATGCAATGACGTTACGTGTTTTAACTTCTCTGAGTGGAACTGCTTCAGCCCATTTGGAGAAGTAATCGGTAATTGCCAGGATGAACCGGTCACCTTTGACTGATGGGGGATTTATAGGGCCAACAATGTCCATTCCCCAAGTCTCGAACGGCCATGACGTAACCGAAGGATGCAGATGCTCCGGAGGTTGGTGCATATAATTCCCGTGTATTTGACATGCATTACACTTTCGGGCATACGTGATTGCATCACTCATCATGGAAGGCCAAAAATACCCCATTCTTCTGATGCGATCATAAAGCTTGGGGCCAGGCTCGTGCGCGCCACACTCCCCTTCATGTGCCTCTCTAAGCACTTCTTGGGCTTCTTTGGTTGATAGGCAACGCAATATCAGCCCATCGTACCCCCTGCGGTATAGCGTTCGACTCTCCGTACTATAGTAGAATCTTGGTGCTCTTCGTCTGATTGACTCTCTTTCCTTCACATCTTCTGGCAAGATTCCATGCAAGACGTAGTCGATGATGGGGAAACGCCAATCTCGTGGTTCGAACTCGATTTGAGTAGCGTGTACCTCTTGAACTTCTTCTTCCTCGGCATCTTCACTGTAAAGCGGCACTAGGAGTTGGTGAGTTCTTACCGTAACAAACTGCTCCGCTTCGGGAGGTTGTGCCAGAGATACGGCCAATGCTGCTAACGCGTCTGCATAGGTATTCTGTAGCCGTGGAATATGTTCGATAAAGAATCCTTCGAATGATTCTGCCATCTCCACTGCCATCTTATGGTATGGTATTAAATCCTGACTTCGGACTTCATATTCTCCTTGGACTTGTTTAACTATCAGTTGAGAATCGCCGAAGGCTTCGAGATACTCCACCCCCAGTTCTTTAGCAAAACTGAGTCCTATG